CCGCTGCAGCTGTCCCTCCATCATACAGCCCCCATTCTTCCATTCTTCTCTCCAGCCAGCAGTCCCACAGCGTAGCAGCACTGGCTGAGATGAGATGCAGCCAGTATGAAGGGAAAGCACCATGGAGAGTCACAAATAATAAAAACAAACAAGATATTCAAGCAGAGGGCACATCTGGGGAGCTAAATGTTACTCTGCTTTGATGAAAAATCAGCAGGGAACTACGGTGATAGGAGGTGGAGGGGTCACACGGCTGCTGATGAAACCTCACCGTGTCAAAAGTAAGACATACTACTCTAAAGGCAGAATCGTATAAAATATTTACAGTTGAAGGTACAAAGCGTGTGAGCGACCGCGTGCATCATGGCTCCAGGAATGTTTCATCCTGATCTGCTAGCATGTGTTGAGATCACATATTCAGTCATCAATGGTTTGATTACAGCTGTAAATCAGTTCTCATAGTAGCCTAAAAACGATAACACTGGGGCTGTGCCTGAATCAGAATTGTTTTGATTTTTAATATTAGGATTTAACTTTGCATTCCTTTTTTTTTTTTTTTTGGACATGCACTGTTTTCATAACGCTGGCTGTGTCCAAAATCATTCACTCATTTACTACCCAGGTTATTTTCTCAGCGCCATTAAATACGTCATTGCTGTCTCACAATTAAAACATGTCATATTAGCATCAGTTGGTGAACCATCCATAACAAATACTGACATGCATATTTGTGATAAACATTAAATTATACTGAGCATATTTTCCACACAGTATTTTGATTCGCTGCTCTGCTCACATTAAACACATTATTAACTTTACATTGGCAGACAGACAAGAGGAGAGAGAGCAGCGCGGTTGCAGCCTGTCCTACTAACAAAAGTAATTTTCCATCTAAACTTTGTGATGTTGAAGTTTGTTTTGCCAGTCAGTCATGTAATTACTTAAATTTAATGTATAACATCATTCATGCATTACAGCATTGCGGCACAAATCATTAGAGACCCAGCTCGCTAACATTAGCTTGTGTTATTAGCCCTACTCTGTACAGTAACTGTGAAGCACTAAAGAAGATCAGTTGCTGATTTATTTTTGTCTCTTCGGTGGTCGATGATGACACATTAAACTGACAATTTATTACATGGCAAAGAAATACTGGTAAAACAAACTTCAACATATGCGGTGGGCAATATGGCCCAAAAATGATATCACGATATTTCAGTATTTTGCGTATTTTTACATTATTCTTGGGGATATGACAAATATATTAAAATATGTATATATGTTATTATTGATTTAAGAAAACAGTACCATACCACAACTATCACACATTCACATATGTGTTTTTTTGTCGAGCCGCAAGCCGCACATAGGTTTACATTACCAAAGGTTTATGACAAAATCACTTGACAACACCAACACCCATGTGAGCATGGCCAGAGAGGAGAGGGAGAGACGCTGTGCTGCTGCCAGAGGAGCCGTTGAATGAGTTCCCTCTGAGCGATAAGTCGCGAAAAGAGTCTGAGAAGTCTGGGGCTGTTCATAAAACATTCAAGATGCCCATGCCAAACAATGCAACAGTTTATTCCACACTACTTAAGCTGCTCCTCTTTTTCGAACCACCGTGGAGTCGCTGATAATTTCACTTTCAGCCATGCTTGCTGCCATGGGTAACAGTATGATGTCAATATGTCAACAAGTCTAAATATCCCGAGTATCATGATATGAATTTTTCATATGATATTGAAAAATATACCGGTATTATCATAAACACACTCACAAACTCCATTCTCAGTCCAGATGCCAGGGAGTAGGGTGGGGGCGTCAGCTAGCTAACTTACCTCATTGAGCTTGTCTCATGTGATTTGATAAACAGAGAGACAGAGGGCACGGCTGAGCAAATCAATGCACCTTAATACTTAAAAAATATCAATATGTGCACAAAACAATATCGACACCTCAACTTGAAGAATTTCAGTTCAGCTGAGAGGTCATCAACCGATGAGTCAACTCATCGACTTTCAGGTGGCAGCCCTAAATAATACGCCTGCTCATTTCCTCTGAGATTTAGATCATTGTCGCCCTGCAGCAGTGTGTTCTATTGAAAATCTGCTTGTCCCTTCCTACAGAGAAAATCCAGACATGTGGCCTCTGGAATACTTTTTTAATCTAAAGAAATAATTCTGTTACTGGTATATTTAGTAAACCGCCTTTAGAAGACAGAAACTGTAAGTGTGTCTTATTAAATGCTTTTAAAAGTGAAAAACAAACAAAAACAGCTTCAGCTTGAGGCAGAGTGAGAACCTAAAGTGTAAAAGAAGTACTGATAGTTTATGCTGTTTCCCATAGCAACAGATGCAGACCAGATGCTGAAGCGTCAGGCTGCAGAGCAGGACTGACTTTGTTGCTTACTGATCAAATTTGGATTAGGAGGTTTTTAGACATCTATAACCAAGTGAGAATAACTACACTGAAACTGTATCTGTTTCCATGCTTGAATAAATAATGTACTGGAGGACATATGATACATTTATCTGCATACTAAAGCCCAATAAAAAACAGCTTGTCATGTTCTCATATAAGAATATTTTCCCCTGTGATAATGATGCATCTCCTGTCCACGTTACTGTGTATATATA